GTTCCTTTGCCTCTCCGAAATCCAAATTGCGTATCTGAAAGTAAACCATTCGACTCGACCCATTTGTCTAGACGAAAAAGAATCATTTTCTCCAACAATTTCCGTATACAGGACAGCATCGCGATGGGACGGTACGAGTTATAATCCGACGCGGGTTTACCGGGTTTTCGAATTGCGATAACTCTTACTTGCCTCCAATCATCCGGAACAATGTTGTGCTCCAGAAATTGATTGAATAAGTTCAACAAGCGTCTCTTCGCGACGTCTGGGAGATTTTTGAGCAAGTTGAACTTGATTCTATCCATTCCTGGAGCTGAGTTGTTACATGAGAGGAGAGCAAGTGAGAATTCCACCATCGAAAACGGAGAATCTATTTCGTTACTACCCGACGGACTATCACGAACGTTGGTTTGAACCGACACCGAATCCGGGCAAACTTTCTGCGCGAAGCTGAATATCCAACTGTCTGAGTACTCCTTGTCTTCGTTGACCGGTGATGACGCGTTGCGCATTCTCCTGCCGACATTCCAGAGTGTTCTCATCGAAGTCTCTCTCGACAAACCATCGACGAACCGACGCCAGTAACCGCGTTTTTTGGCTTTAATCAAGCTCTTAAAAATTTTCTCGAGGTCGGTGTACCGCTCGAAATCCTCGACCTTACCGTGTTTGCGGAAGCGTTTAAACGCGGCGGACTTCTCGCTGTTCGCGTCGGTGCAATCCTTATCCCACCACGGAGTGAGAGGTCGTTTGCGAACGAAAACACCCGGAACGCGTTTCGTCTGTGCTTGAAGAGCGCAGTCAACGATAAGTCGCGATAAAAAGGAGTACTCATCCAGCGGAGGGAGTATGTCAACCGAATCAGTACCACCGAGAACCGCGGACGCAAATTTTTGCCAGTCGATGTTTTTCGTGAGGTCGTACGCGATGTCAACCGAGCGAGTGGAAGATGAACCATTGGTAATAGAAATTTTGATTGGCAAGTGGTCACTACCGTAGGGATCTTGAATTACTTTCCACGAGCAATCCAACGATAGTGAACTCGAACTGAGGGAGAGGTCTAATCTACTTTCTCTTGCTGGAGGTTTGGCCACTCGTGTTACTTCCCCAGTGTTTAGAATTGTCATATTGAAGTTATCGCAAAGGTCGTATATCAGGGTTGAGCGGTTGTCATCGTACAGTTCCCCCCAGCCTGTACCGTGGGAGTTAAAATCTCCTAATATCAACCGAGGCTCAGATAAAGCTGAGCAGATATCTGAGAGACCTTGGCGAGAAATCGCAGTTCTTGGAGGAAGATATACTGAGGCAATACTGAGGCTTTTACCTCGAATATTTACCTGACATGCGACAACTTCAATGCCTGTCACGGAAGGCAGATCGATTCTATGAAAGGAATGGAGCTTATGAATCCCGAGAAGCACCCCTCCATACGAATCTGCTCGATCAAGGCGAATAATGTTAAAATCGTGGAAAGGGAGATCGGTGTCTGAAGAAAGCCATGTTTCACAAAGAGCAAATGCATCACAAAGTGAGTTGTGAACTAAAAATTTGAATGTGTCAAGTTTCGGTATAAGACTTCTACAGTTCCACTGAAGAACAGAGATCATATCCCCGACCTCATTCGGAAAATTATCCATCAAAGGATATGATCGATGCAAGGAAGGACCACCTAGAAGCTAGTTGCTTCAAAAGAGTTTTCACGAATGGAAGCACTAAATTAATAATGTTCCGAGTTGAGTCAGAGACGTTGAATATATTGAAGATGCTCTCCACAATTTCAGAAAACGTGAACATGGCATCATGTTCTTGCTGATTATTCAGCTGTTTTTCTGGCTGAAAAACTGGGATATCTGGGGTTTTAGATGATCCCGGAAGTGGCGGAAAGTCCTTGTTAAAATTACAAGATTTCAATCCCGGTGGTGGGGGTTTCGGTACATTTCCGCTACCTCTTAAATTTGTCAAGGTAGGTTGGTAGTCCATACGAGAGGCCTTACGAGGTTTTTGGGTGACGTTTATTTTGGACCGCTTCCTCGTGTTGCCACTAAAGACAAAAGGACTACTCTCACCCACCTCTGAGTCAGAGCCCTGATCATCATCTGGCAGGAGGTGGAATGTGTTGTTGCTTTTTGGGGTGGTTTGGGAAGATGAAGCGGTCGTTTTTAAAATTTCTGCTAACGAGCGCTTAGAGCGAGCTTGCAAAGACCGCTTTAGTTTTTCTCCCTGCTGTTTGTACTTCGGGCAATCACTCAGAGCATGCGGAGCATCCTTACAGTAAACGCATTTTGGGGTAGCATGACAAGGACCCTCCATATGCTCCTCCCCACATTGATCGCACCGCGGTTTGTTGGAACAAAAGTCCGCGGTGTGACCTAGTTGTTTGCATTTCAAGCAATTCATTACCCTCGGTACAAACAAGCGTACAGGTAGTCGAACCTTCCCAATTGTGACGTAGTCAGGTAATGCCGATCCTGAAAAGGTCACACGAAACGAATCTGAGAGGGTATACTTTTTTTTTGTGCCTATGTGCGACACTGACTGCAGTTGAATGCAGTCCAGTATCTTGACTTTCGGGAGGGCACGGTTTTTGAAAATGCCGAAAGATTCGACTTGCAGGAAATCCTCACAAGTCAGACTCGATTCGGTGACCACTCCTTCAATTTCTACGTCACAACTGGGGACGTAGACTCGATATTCGATCGAAAAAAGCTCACAGGCAACAATCCGGTTTGCCTGTTTCAGGTCATCAACGGTAACGCGCAGTTTGTTTGACGTTACCTTAAAGATATCGGTTACGGCCGAAAAATGTTTTGTCAGATCCTTCGAAATCCGAGAAATATTCAAAGGTTTTTGTTTGGGCCGGAAAAAAACAACCCACGGACCTTTTGAGTCGCTTGGGTAAGCTTTATGGCGGGGGGTCGTAGAAATTTTTAAGGGAACGGTTGGAGTAGGGGGAACAGGTGGACGAGGGGGCGATGGTGGAGAAGGGGGGGCAGGGGGTGAAGGAGGTTGTTGTTTAGACGTCACCTTTGGGTAAGCTCCAGTGCTCGTTTTGGGGTCCGAAGTAGAATCCCCTGAGGTATCCATTTCCTCTTCAGTGAGAAGCAGATTTTCGAATGATGGAGATTTAACAGACTCATCATCGGAGATATCTGCTAGCGAAATACCCCCGCCATCATTGGTTTCATCCATTGCGGGGTCTTAAGTACCTCCGCAACAGATTTCGACATAAAAAAGGAAATATATATATATATATATTTATATATATATATATATATATATATATGCGTTGAGAAAAAAAAAATAATAAATAAAAAAAAAAAAATAAGAAAAAAAATAAACTTATCCAAAAAATATAACGGTAAAAATAATACTTAATCCAACAAAGCAAAAAAAAAAAAAAACTTTAAAATGGAAAAAAATAATGCCAGGAAAGTTAATCAACACTATAGGGAGATTAATCAGTTTGCAAAAAAAAAACAGTAAATGAAAAAAAAGAGAAAAAAAAAAATGAAAATTTTTTCAGGAAAAAACAAAAAGGTGTCAGAAAAGTTAATCAACACTGTATGGAGATTAATCAGGTTGCGGAGAACGGAAGATAACCGTTTGTTACTTAACTCTCCACACAAGCGCACGGAGTGTGGCTGATGACGATGATCTATCCTGATGTGAGAATGATGGTGATGATCGTTCTATTGTTGCCCTCGAGTGTTTGCAACAAAGCACCGGCTGGCTCGCCGGCTGGTGAACTCGATGACCTTGAGTTTGCCGTTTCGTGATGCGATGAAACTTGTTGGTTAGAGATGTACAGCTCATCTGCCGGACTCGGCCGGAAATGACTGCTTCCTTTCTCGAACGATTGAGCGGCAATTACAATTCCGCGATGCTCACTGCACTGTTGTATACTACAACACCACTCAGTATGAAAGCGGATTGAAAAAAAAAACCTCAATAGGGGAAAAAAAACTAGTACCGATTACGGAGTGCAAGCAATACTTGACCGAAACAGTCGAGCGTTCGATGTGGAATGAAAAAAATATCACTATAAACTTGTTTAAAATGTAGCAATTTCTAAGAAAACACGCTCAATACTTACCAGAATCATGCTACTACGTGAACAGTTTTGAATTCAAATTCTTATTAATTCACAACAAAAATAATTATAAACTATAACTAATGCTACTTATTACCAAAACAAATAGAAGAAACAAGGCGACTTTTTTAGCATCATGTTTTTGTAGAGATTGTAGAAAAGTGACAATGAGTATGGCAGAGTGTTTCGTGGCTTGCTTGATAATTTGTGTGCATGCAGATAATTTGTTATAAGTTATGGATAAGTTGGGAATAGAAAGAATAGATAGGATGAATTGAAATTTTCAGCACGTTGAAAACTGTATGAGACATTTGGGTAAAAATGGGATAATCCTTAATGGCGGTAAGCTCCAACTCGGATTAACTTTTAATACCGTCCCTGTTTGTATGATCTGAAAAATGTTTGCTCAGAATTATGTTGATTAACTCTGATGTCGACATCAAACCAGCCGGACATTCTTGATCGGGATTTAATCCGAGGATAATACCGGTTGGAGCTTACCACCATAAGTGTCGTTCCCCCTGGCGTGCGTGAAAGATACAAGGTGGCAGAGTAACTTCCATGTATGGTTAATTTGCTTAACGACATGTTCAACGTATCATCCAAAACATGTGTGGAATATTTCTATCATTCGGGTTATCGTTCGGGTATGGTATTTTTTTATTAGGGTTAAGGAAAATCCATACAAATTTATTCAAAATCTCTTTCTGTCCTGAATCTTGTATCCTGTAGTGTACAATGCAAACAGCAACAGCAGAATCCATCTTTCGTGCTCTTTAGTGGCTTGAGTGCCACTGATTTTGTTTTGGTTTTGGATTAAAATTAAATAAATCGAAAACAACTTTAAATAATTTTCCATGATTTTTCCGTTGTTGCAAAAGTTCTACTCAACGTTTGGATCTCAATTATTAATATGGAAACGACAAAGAAGGCACCTCAGTCCCCTTCGTTCGCCAGCGAGTGCCGCTTCTGCGGAACCTACAGCAACGTGATCGTGGACCTGTTCAAAAATGGACTGGCGCAAAAGGCCGAAAAGAGCTTCTACCTCGCGGTGAGTTGGAACTTTTTTTTTTATAAATTACAAACGAAGGTGTTTCAAAAACTTGCATATTTCTAGATTGAACCAACAGATTACCTCCCAAAGTTCATCTGTAAAGAGTGTGAAAGTTCCTTGTGTGCAGCATACGCCTTCGGAGCGAAAACACGACTCGTGGAAAAAGAACTGAGGCGGAAGTATTGTCCACCGGTGGAAGATTACATGACTGTTGAGTATCTGGAAGAAGAAACTCCGTTTGAATACTTGACCTATGAATCCGATCCGGTCGGTTTAGCGTTGGAGAAGCTGAAGACCACGTCGATTGTGATCAAAAAGATTTCGCACCAGGAACACCGAAAGGTTTCACAATTTGAGCCAGTTGTTGCCGCCGTAGAGGATCAGAAAGAGTCGAGCCCACAACCTCTGAAAAAGCACAAACGATACGAAGCTGAAACGGTGATCAAATTAATCGAACCAGTGCCATGCATTTGTCTGGGCTGTTCTGGGAGGTTTAGCTGCGTGGATGAACTTTTGAAGCATAAAAATGAATGTAACCCTAACAGCTACACGTGTTTGAAGTGTAGCTCGGTTTTCGAAAATCAGCTAGCATTGAAAAGGCACCAGCAGAAGCATTACAGTTATGTCTATCGATATGGGTGCCCTTCGTGCGATAAAATCTTTAAGAACTCTTTCGATTTGGACAACCATCGGGCGAGGGATCATGGCGAAGAGGTCGAAGAGCTGGGGTACGCATATCGATGCTGTAATCAGGAATTTCAAACAAGGAAAGCACTGCACGAGCATGCCGCATGTCATAAAGAAGATCCCGTGTTGTGCGCAGTTTGTGGCAGAAGCTACAAGAACAAGGCAACTCTGATGTGGCATCAGAAGATACACTCCGACTATCGACCGTGGGTTTGTGAGGTCTGTGGGGTTGGTTTCAGGAAAAGGGCAAACCTATTTCAGCACAGGCAGCAGCATACGGGGGTGAAGCTGTTCAAGTGTGACCAGTGTCCGAAGCAGTACGGAAAGAAGGACTCGCTGAAGAAGCACTACCGGAAGTGCCATTCCACGGAACCGATTATGTGGTCCCAAACGGGAGAGAAGCTGGGGCTGACCAGAAAGCGAGTTGCTCAGGATCATTCGTATGAAGGACCACCACCGGTGGTGAAAGATGCACCAGAAAACGACGACGTTGGAAGGGAGGAAGAGGTAAATGATGAATAGAAGATATTTTGTTTGAGTTTACATGTTTTTTTTTATACTTTGACAATGGCCTTGCCGATGTTTCCGCCCCGCATCATATCTATAAACGCCTGCGGCATGTTTTCGAAGCCCTTGGTGACCGTTTCCCGATACTGTAGTTTACCCTCTTGGAGCCACTTCAAGTTCTGACCGATCCCTTCGAACCACCTGTCCGTCCAACGATGAACGCTGAAGCCTTCCTGAACCAGTTGCTTCCAAACGAAATCCCTCTGCGGGTCCTGCACCTGAATCGGGCTTCCATTGTACATGGAAATTGTTCCGCATACGGCAATCCTTCCACGGTGCCTCATTTGCTTCCGCACCGTTGCCACAATCGGACCGCCGACGTTATCGAAGTAACAATCCACACCCTCCGGAGCTGCATTCAGCAATTCCTTCTCGATGTCCGCCGTTTTGTAGTTAATCGCAGCGTCGAATCCAATCTCCTTCAACCACTGGCATTTCTCGTCCGATCCGGCAATTCCGATCACGCGACATCCCTTGATCTTGGCAATTTGGCCTACAATGTTGCCAACGGCACCGGCTGCTCCACTCACCACCACCGTTTCACCTTGCTTGGGTCGACAAACCTCCAGCAGCCCAAAATAGGCCGAATTTCCAACCGTACCCAGCGTTCCGATTCCCAGCGAACGTGGCAAGGATGTCCCGAAATCCGGTAACACGTACGGTTTCCTCGTCTCGATCCCGGTGGGATTACAGATTGCGTACGTCCGCCAACCAAACTGACCGAAGACATAAGCCCCGACGAGGAAATCCGGATGCTTACTCTCGAGAACTTGCGCCACTTGGCCACCGATCATTACCGAACCGACCGGGTATGACTGGACGTAGATGCGCATGTACGGATCGACGCTCAGGTATTCGGCCTTGGCAAGGAATTCTGGAACGTGAATGCGACGTCAGTTAGGTAATTTATGGGCGACAGTTAAGTCTAAAGGAAGGGTAACCTACCGCCATCCTTGATCGCAGGCATTAATTCCTCCTCGAGGCGGAAGTCCTCCGGCTTGGGCTCGCCATCGAAGGCCCGTGCGTAGATCCACTTTTGGGCGGTGTAGACCATTGTTGAATTTTCTGTGGCAATAAGCTAGCTGTTCGGGTGTTTAAACTGGGACTGTTACGCAGATAACGATATCAGTTGATGATGCTGATGCCTCGGGAGTGATGCTTCTATTCCAATATGTGTGCGTGTTTTGAACGGTGTACGTCTATATACAAGATAATGCTCAGTCATTTAGTGCACTTCAGTGGCTTTATCACGTACGCATGTAACCGGAGTTGCTGCTTCAGTATTTGAATAATTAAGAATAGATACCACAGTTAGTTATGGATGATTTTCTTCTCGAGCGACAGCGAGCTTATCTTGAGAAACAAGTTGTGCGAATATGTTCGTCATCTATGTTGATGTTTCGCAAATTCCGCCGGCCGGTTGACCTTGAGGCCGTTAGTGGTAGATTCAAATATAGAACACAATATTAGGTACCTACTGTATAGTATGCGGGATACACACATCAGAACCTCACAGAACACAGATACAGATTGTTTTTGAATTTCGCCTGTACACGTTTATGAATGTGTGAAGTCGAGTCGATATCTATTCAGCTAAAAGTGCATTGTGTTGCCTGCGATGCTTCGATTTTTATTTCTTTAGATATACAAAAAGTTAGATCTCGTCCTAGGCGCTTAATACAAAGGTGACACACAAGGAAGAAGTGTTAGTTTGTTTACTAAAATGAACTATGCCCATTTTGTTATGACAAGTTTTGCTATAAGAAATGCTCCTCGTGATTATTAGCGAAATTCACATCAAAGATTGATTAATTGCGTAGGAATTCAGTTTGGCACGACATTTGTGACCACCATACACATTCCGGTCGTATGAAACAGGTTAAAAACTGTCCAAATCCGCTCATACAATTTTTTTGTTATGAATTTCTGTATGGCAAAATAGTGAACTGGGACCAACACTGGGAGACCGTAAGCTCCTGCCCACCTGTCATAAAACCATCTCGGTAGCGTATGAACGAGATCCGCAAAACTTGCCATAACAAAATGGGTGTTGCCAATTCTAGCAGCACTGAAAGTAAGGCCTCTTGCGATGCCCCCAATCGGAGTCCGCCTGTGTCCACGATCAGTAAACGTCAGCGTGATCATAAACGTCAAGCAACAGCAATATGAACAAAAGGTAGAGGAAAAAGGGAACAATCCAGCCATACCGAAGAAGGAAGATTGAAATGTGGTTATTTCGTTATACTTCTAGTATAGATTTTTAAGTTTATTCCGAACTGATTATTTCACCCACGGAGGGACCAATCTAGACCTAGATAAATCTGGTCATTCGTATACGTAAGTTTAAAATTGTTAAAGATTTACTTAATTTACCTAACTTATTTGTAATTTAGGGTTAGAATAATCTTGAGTCTTTGACTCTTCTTGGATATCACTGAGGTTGAGTGCACTTTCGGATAGGTTACACTGCTGTAATCTGATTGTAAGTTCGTAAATTGTTTATCGAATAGCTATAATTAAATTTGATTTAAATAACTACTAGATCGACACTAAACCGCGCACATACAGAGCAGAATTTGTTGGATTTGTGCCAATATAAGGTAGACCAAATTGTAAGTGGGATGAATTCTATTTTACTTTCTCTAATTAATGAAATATATTATCTAGCTTCAAGAATCACGGCACAACGGAATCCAGTGCGTTTCTTTGAGGAGGTCCGAACCCAAAAAATCCAACAAAAGCTTGAAGAATTTGCATAAAACTCTGACGGAAAGATGCCGGAAACGGAGTTGAACGACTGTAAGGTCTGTCGTCGATCGAACAACCTGGACAACATGGTGTTCTGTCCCAGGTGTGAGGAATGGTTCCACTATCAATGTGCTGGAGTTGACGAAACCGTAGCGGATGAAAGCTGGATGTGTGCTACGTGCTCGGCTCTTACAACTCGTACTCCACTTGGACCGACAAGTACTCCTGTGTCCACGGTGGCTTCCAGTTTACCACCGGTGGTGAAGACAGCCGCTGCGAGCGGTTCCAGCCAGTCTATATTGACGGAACAAGCCAAGGCGGATCTACAGTGGTTTAAGGATCAACGAGAATTACTGGAACGTGAGATGGAGGAGAATCACCGAGCAGAGGTGGAACGCAAGAGATTAGAGTTGAAGAAGCTGTCAACCCAGGCCATGTTACGGATCTTAACCGAAAGCATGAAGGATGCAGAGGATACGATGAACAGCCTGAACGAACAATCAGTCGCGACAGGAGCCGGTAATGTGCGAAATTGGATGCAAGGGATGGTCGGGGAGATGAGGAACCTTTCGATCGCTCAAAGGAGCGTGGTAGCAGAGGTGACATCGTCGGTCATGCCCGTATATGACATCAGTTCCACTTCGACGACTGCAGGTGCCATACCGAATACGTTCGACCCGACTCTGTCATCAACCCTGCAAAGTGCGGTAGGTGGGTCGGTTAACATGCATCCAGTGACTATTTCATCAGCTCAACATACTACTTCTCAAACGCTCACGGATTTACAAGCTGAAATCGATCACCTTCGTCTAGCTGGGGCAATACCAAAAGGTCTGGTAAGCCGAGTGCCAGTAATATCGGGACAAGGTAGCTCCACTCAAACAAATGTTGTGACGGCACGGTTGTCCTACACTTCCAACGGTGAGTTTTTCTTCCCCTTACCCGGGGTTACCAATCAACATGGGGGTAGTTAGCCAGCCAACGACTATGATCCCACAAATACAACCTTATCTCGGGATGGCAACAAACATGGGTCAACCAGGGGTACCTTCTGGATATGCTATAAATACCACGACAGGAGGTGGATTCCCACACGTAATGAATCCCGGTAGCGTGGCAACAGGTGGAGGACAGTAACCACTACCCTTTCCCCAGTATGGAGTGAATTCAACGGCAGGATGTGGATTCCCACCCGTAATGAATCCCATTCCGGTGCTTCCAAGGATGTATGATTCGGTAGGACAGTATCAAGTGACACCCACGCAGCAGCAGATGTTGGCAAGACAGATTATGCCACGAGATCTTCCACGTCTGCGAGTGCCGAGAGGAGACAACTGACCGAGAGCTACATGAACTCGTGGAACGACACTTCACGGTCGAAAGCGTTGGAGTTTCGGCAGACAAAGGCCCAGAATCAGAGGAGGACAAACGCGCCCGTCGTATATTGGAGGAAACCACAAAACGAACTTCGAAGGGGTTCCAGATAGGACTTCTGTGGCGACACGACCGGGTGGAATTTCCTAACAGTTTCCCGATGGCCATGCGCCGCTTGGAATGCTTCGAACGAAGAATGAGTATGGATTCTGTACTACGAGATAGTGTACATCGACAGATCGAAGAGTATTTGGAAAGAGGTTACATTCACGAGCTTACACCGGAGGAAATTAAGTCGGCCGATCCTGACAAGGTTTGGTACCTTCCACTGGGTGCAGTGAGAAATCCTAAGAAGCCGGGTAAAATCAGGCTTGTTTGGGATGCTGCGGCCAAGGTAGGAGGTGTGTCATTAAATGCCATGCTACTCAAAGGACCAGACATGTTGGTTCCCCTACCGGCGGTGCTCTGTGGATTCCGGGAACGCCCGGTGGCAGTTAACGGAGATTTAAGGCAAATGTTTCATCAGTTCAAGATTCGGCCACAAGATGTACACAGTCAGAGATTCCTCTTCCGCAAGGATCCGACTCAGCCTGTTAAGACGTTCGTGATGGACGTCGGAAGTTTTGGTGCAACGTGCTCTCCGTGTCAAGCACAGTTTATCAAGAACCTGAACGCGAAAGAGCACGAATTAGATTATCCCCAGGCAGTGAAAGCAATCTTAAAGAAGCACTACGTGGACGACTATTTAGATAGCTTCGACACGGAAGAGGAAGCGATCAAGGTTGCACTTGAGGTGAAGGAGGTGCACGCCCGTGGTGGATTCGAGATTCGGAATTGGCACTCGAACTCATCTACACTTTTGGAACGGGTCGGGGAACCAAAACAGCAGCAATCGGAAGCGATAACCATCGACACGGAAAACCACGCGGAGCGAATTCTTGGCCTTCTTTGGTTACCTGAACAGGATCTTCTTGCTTTCGCCACTGATGTGCAGCTTGATAACATTACTCCAACGAAGCGGAACATTTTGCGATGTGTCATGAGTCTTTTTGATTCTCAAGGTATCACGTTACGATCCAGGGACGAATGATTATCCAAGACACGTGGCGCAGCCAAACCAAATGGGACGAAGAGGTGACTGAAACAATTCAAACACGCTGACGTAGGTGGATCACGCTTTTCAAAAGGGTAGGCCAAATCCGACTTCCCAGAGCCTACTTTCCAGGATTCCCTGCCGATGATGTAGGTTCGGTGGAGCTACACGTTTTCACGGATGCGAGTGAGGAGGCATACGCAACCACCGCTTTCTTCAGAGCTGTCATACATGACAAGGTGTACTGCACATTAGTGATGGCTAAAGCGAAAGTGGCACCACTGAAGGCGGTATCGGTACCTCGTCTGGAGCTTATGGGTGCGCTATTGGGAGCAAGGTTGGCAAAGGCAGTTGGAGAGTATCACACGTTTCCTATCCGACGTCGTATCTTCTGGACAGATTCAGAGGCAACGTTGGCTTGGATCCAGTCACCACATCACCGGTACCGACAATTCGTGGCCTTCAGAGTGGGAGAGATCCTGGACAAGACGGAAGCAGCAGAGTGGAGATGGATTCCTACGCAACAAAACGTGGCTGACGAAGCTACTAAGTGGGGAAGAGATCCTAGCACCAACGTCCAGTCCCGTTGGTTCAAAGGCCCAGATTTCTTGTATCTACCGGAGTCAGAATGGCCGAAGAGGATGTCTACAAAACAACTTGAGACCGACATAGAGTTGCGGCCCTGCCTGGTACATCATGAGCGAGTCGTCGAGGACGTCATCAGCTGGACGAACTTCTCCAAATGGGAACGCTTGCTAAGAGCGATCGCGTATGCTCACCGTTTCGTATCAAACTGCCGCCGAAAATCCAAGAAGCAGCTGCCAATCACCGGTTGTTTGTCGAAGGAAGAACTACAGAAAGCGGAGAACAGTCTCTGGATTGTAGCACAGGCGACATCGTATCCGGACGAAATAGCGGTGTTGAAGCTGAGACAGGGGAACCAAAAAAAGCATATCGAGAAAACAAGCCCGATTTACAAACTGTCTCCTTTCTTGGACCATCTGGGCGTAATGCGGGTTGATAGTCGCATCGGAGCGGTCCCTTATGTCACGCATGACTTCAAGTTCCCTATTATCCTTCCACGCAACCATCGGTTGACCACGCTGCTTGTCGATTGGTATCACCGCAAGTATCTACACGCCAACCAGGAGACAGTTCACAACGAAGTTCGCCAGCGTTTTCATGTTTCCAGCCTGCGTGCAGTAGTTCGTCGAGTAGCGAAAGAATGTCAAGCGTGCAAAATCACCAAGGCGGCGCCAACTACACCAAGGATGGCTCCTCTACCAGCTGCTCGGCTTGCGGCCACAGTTCGTCCATTCTCCTATGTTGGGTTGGATTATTTCGGTCCCATACAAGTCAGAGTCGGCCGCAGCTGCGCCAAACGGTGGGTTGCTTTATTTACGTGTATGACGGTGAGAGCAGTCCACCTGGAAGTCGTCCACTCGTTATCTACGGAGTCATGTAAGATGGCACGCCGGGGATCACCTGTCGAAATTCACTCCGATAATGGAACCAACTTTCTGGGAGCCAGCCGTGAACTACGAGAGGAGATTGAAGCCATAGGGAAACAACTACAAGAGACGTTCACGAGCTCGGCTACCAAGTGGATTTTCAATCCACCATCCGCTCCCCATTTTGGTGGTGCTTGGGAACGTCTTGTAAGATCGGTCAAGATTGCAATGGGATCTTTATGTAGTGATAGGAATCCGGACGATGAAACGCTGCTAACCGTGGTCACGGAAGCAGAAGCAATTGTGAACTCCAGACCACTCACATTCATCCCGCTGGAGAACTCCAACCAGGAAGCACTAACACCGAACCCCTTCATCTTGCTGAGTTCGAACGGTGTATTGCAACCTCCAAGAGCACTGGATGAACCTACGAAGGTAACCCGTACGAACTGCACCATGACTAGACAACTCGTGGACCAGTTCTGAAGGCGATGGGTCATAGAATACCTTCCATCGATCGCCAAACGAACCAAGTGGTTCAGTGAAGCGGAAGCGGTAAACGTGAACGATCTGGTGATAATAGTAAACGAGAACCAGCGCAACGGATGGACCAGGGGACGTGTCCTATCGGTTATAAAGGGAAGCGATGGACGTATACGCCAAGCGTTGGTACAAACTACGGGTGGAGTGTTCCGGCGTCCAGTCTCAAAGCTGGCAGTGCTGAAGGTGCAATCTGATGGTAACGTTGATTTGGTAGCGAAAACGGAAGTGCGTTACGAGTCGGGGGATGTTGCCAATTCTAGCAGCACTGAAAGTAAGGCCTCCTGCGATGCCCCCAATCGGAGTCCGCCTGTGTCCACGATCAGTAAACGTCAGCGTGATCATAAACGTCAAGCGACAGCAATATGAACAAAAGGTACAGGAAAAAGGGAACAATCCAGCCATACCGAAGAAGGAAGATTGAAATGTGGTTATTTCGTTATACTTCTAGTATAGATTTTTAAGTTTATTCCGAACTGATTATTTCACCCATGGAGGGACCAATGGAGGGACCAATCTAGACACTAGACCTAGATAAATCTGGTCATTCGTATACGTAAGTTTAAAATTGTTAAAGATTTACTTAATTTACCTAACTTATTTGTAATTTAGGGTTAGAATAATCTTGAGTCTTTGACTCTTCTTGGATATCACTGAGGTTGAGTGCACTTTCGGATAGGTTACACTGCTGTAATCTGATTGTAAGTTCGTAAATTGTTATAATTAGCTATAATTAAATTTGATTTAAATAACTACTAGATCGACACTAAACCGCGCACATACAGAGCAGAATTTGTTGGATTTGTGCCAATATAAGGTAGACCAAATTGTAAGTGGGATGAATTCTATTTTACTTTCTCTAATTAATGAAATATATTATCTAGCTTCAAGAATCACGGCACAACGGAATCCAGTGCGTTTCTTTGAGGAGGTCCGAACCCAAAAAATCCAACAATGGGCATAGTTCATTTTAGTAAACAAACTAACACTTCCTCATTGTGTGTCACATTTGTATTAAGCGCCTAGGGTGGTGCCCATCTGGGCAAAAAATCTAAGTGTGTAACTATCGGACTTTCGAAATTACAGATCTCAAAATTCTATGTCTGAATTATCGTCATTGTTCTGAAATTCTTCTCGGGAAGAAACTCTTGAAGTTAAACAATCCAAAGAATTACATTTAATTCAGACTTTCTCTAGAACAATTTTAGCACCGACAAAAAGACATAATGCTGGGAACATTATTGATTGTAAAACATCGTCCATAAAACAATGGGCCTTATTATGGGTCTCACTACACGGTGATAAGCAAGTGATACTCAGAATAAGAGCCGTGACCGTACAAATCAAATGGGAATCACTTAACCGTGACGACAAATGACAAGCTTTCACCGTGAAGTAACATCCATATTAAGCCCCAATATCGCCATCTGTTGACCACACTGTGGAGGGCACTGCGCTCAAAAGATGATAGTTTTGTAGACTAGGCGCGCCTCCAGTGGCTACACTACCAACTACCAACAGCATATGAAGAGTTATGTCTGTTTGTGGGTGATTTTAGGATTCTCTCTACCAGGGAATTTACCCATCACACTGTACAATTTTCCCCATAGAGTTCTACGCCGATTTATGGGCGGACAGAGTATTCACCAATCCGGATTACCTAATCTCCGAATTCGACGGAATAAAGGACCTAACATGACCTATTACAAACTGTATCGTTATTTATTGATAGAACGTTTTACAATGAGCACCACACACACCACACTTGCAAACATATGATCAATACTCAAAAGTATTGATAATCATATTGATGCAAATATTGACGCAAAATAAAAAAAAAAGTATGATTTCCCCTTCTGTTCTGTTTTGTTCTGTTGACTACCGCAGCAGATGGGGCCTGTTTCTCAGCATCTTTCGTCAAGGTGGTTGGGATTTGAATCGGAATATTCTAACGGATACAACAATGTTAGTGAGGAGCGAACCTGCATTTATGACTCCCCGATAATATTGTTGAAAATATTGACTTGAAAGTATTGATGGAAATATTGACGAAACTTCTGTCGTGTGGGGTGCACTTAAGTACTAAAGTGCTTTAGTTGGGTTGGGTGTACACATACTCTAGTCAACTCGATTTGAATGCTTCTGTGTGTTAGTAATCTTCTGCCCAGTATGCCTCACAGCTTGAGAGCGTAAAAATAGAGAGAATTCAACTACCAAACGATCCTGCTGAAGATCATTCCAGCATCCAGCTCTTGCAAGTGCACCAACACTCTCAAATAAACTTATCATTAATTCTACACTACGGTTGTCGCTTAGCACCAGCAAATCGTCACTTTCTTATCTCCGCCGTGGTCAAACACTTTTTTTCGGAACCTGAAGGCATTTCAACGATAGATTTCGTTCGAAATGGGTCTCTCGACGCACATTCTGGACACCAGCCGGGGCAAACCGGCAGTAAATGTGAAAATCACTCTGTACCGTGGAACTGCGGGTGTACCGGAAAGCTGGGAAAAGACCACCGAAGGCTTGACCGACAGCGATGGACGATTCAAGGGATTCTTCGTGGACAATCCGGCCGCCTTCACCAATGGGCTGTACAAGCTGCGCTTTCAGGTTGGACAGTACTACGAACAACTGAACACCGACACGTTGTATCCGTTTGTTGAGGTGAGATAATTTTTAAGGATAATTGCTTATTGGAATCGCTACTAATCGTTTTTTTTTTTATTGTAGATCGTTTTCGACATCAAAGATGCCAGCCAGCACTATCACATTCCCCTACTGTTGAACCCATTCGGATATTCTACTTACAGAGGTTCGTAATTTATTTGTTTGACATTTATTTGGCAATAAGAATACTTTCATCCTCGACATTGGTCTTTCATTTTTAAACTTTGACAACCGCCTTACCGGTATTCTCCCCAGTCAGCATTCCAATGAACGCCTTTGGCATATTTTCGAATCCTTCGGTCACCGTTTCCCGATACTTAAGCTTTCCCTCCTTGATCCACTTCAGATTCTGCTGGATGGCTTCCAACATTCGGTCGTTCCAGCGGAACACCATGAACCCCTCCTGGCGCAGCTGTTTCCATACGTAGTCCCGTTGCGGATCCTGAACCTGTGCCGCATCGCAGTTGTAGTCCGAGATGGTTCCACAAACGGAAATCCTTCCAAACAGATTCATCTGTCCACGAACAATTTCCGCAGTTTTTCCACCCACATTATCGAAGTAGCAATCAATCCCCTTCGGAGCGGCCTTCTTCAGTTCGGCTTCCAAATCGGCCGTTTTGTAGTTAATTGCATGGTCGAACCCAATGCTTTTGATCCACTCGCACTTGGCGGCCGTTCCGGCGATTCCAATCACCTTACATCCTTTGATTTTCGCGATCTGACCCACCAAGGATCCAACGGCACCGGCCGCTCCGCTGACCACCACTGTTTCCCCTTCCTTTGGTTTGCAAATTTCCAAAAATCCAAAATACGCCGTCTGACCTGGCATACCGAGCGCTCCTATCCCCAGAGATAAAGGCTCGCCAGCAAAGTCAGGCAGTGGGTATGGCTTCCACTCAGGGGCAACCTCATCCGGATTGCAGATGCTGTGGGTACGCCAACCGAACGCTCCAACGACGTACGATCCCGTCGGGAATTTACCGTTCTTACTGTCCAGCACTTTGGCTACCTGTCCACCAATCATAACCGTACCCTCCGGATGTTCGGTCATGAACGGCCGCATATATGGGTCCACACTGAGGAAAATGGCTTCGGCGAGGAATTCTTAAAATTATAAAAAAAATATATATATAACAACATACCGCTGACGATCGTCTATTGAACGTTATTGCATTTACCATTATCTTTCAACTCGCCGAGTGTTTCCTCTTCGAGTCGAAAATTCTCCGCCGTTGGCAAACCGGAGAAGGCTTTGGCGTAGATCCATTTCTTAGCAACGACCATTTTTACCGAACACTTGGCACTTGACTTGGTTACTGATGTACTTGTTTGATGTTCTCTGAAGTTTTTAACTTTAAATGGACATAAAATGCGTGAACATTATCCACTAATATATTCTAATTTACTTTTTACCAGATCACTACCAAACTCAGGGAGCCGTTTGAATGAAGACAATAAAGCTGGGTTTAGATAGGGCAAGTCAAATGATCAACTCAGTTGAATGCAATTGTCTTGAAAAGTTGAGCCTGGTTCAACTTTTTTCAATTCAAGTGAGTTGATCAAGTCAGTTGAATGGCATGGTTTACACGTTCAATTCGCGTTCAATTCAGTTGAATTCAACTGACTTGATCAATTGGCTTGCCCTATCTAAACCCAGCTTAAAAGGGGAAATACAAATAAAAACCAACCGGCTGTTAGCTGTATGTGTGGTTGTGTACACTCTGGCGAAATTTGGATTTATATTTGCTGAGATAACTATTGCAATCATCAAAAAAAAAGGCTCAAAACGTTTATCAAATTTGAATTTCACAAGCAACCTGTGAATAAGGTTTATGAAGAGTTTCCACAAATCATCGATAGTTTCTTGGCTAGTTTACATTGGCGTAGCCAGAGGGGGGCATGGTTTCACTCTGCGACACTTCTTGCCTAATGTTCTGCGTGGGATCGGCGAGGTTTCGGAGAACGAAAGCAAGAATTTGTTACTTGAGTGAGGAAAAAATGCTGCTGACGTGTTCACCTATTCCTTCGTAATGTTCCTAAGAAGCCCGAGGTCTTTAAAGTGCTGATTACCTTATTTGATCCGCTAGGACTTGTTTCGTTTTTCCTCGTTCATGGCGCTGACTCAGGATATTTGGGCCAGAGGTCCCAACGATCTGTACGATCACTATATCTGGTCAGCGCTCCAGGAAAACATTGATGGCTTGGAGATTCACACGTTCTGCGTCGCCAGCAAAGCAGCGTTCTCATGTGCCGCTTAAGCTGGGTTTAGATAGGGCAAGTCAAATGATCAACTCAGTTGAATTCAATTGGCTTGCAAAGTTGAGCCTGGTTCAACTTTTTTCAATTCAAGTGAGTTGATCAAGTCAGTTGAATGGCATGGTTTACACGTTCAATTCGCGTTCAAGTCAGTTGAATTCAACTGACTTGATCAATTGACTTGCCCTGTTTAAACCCAGCTTTACTGTCACGCAGAAATAGACGGTGTTATGATCGCAGGGATTGGCCGAAGCCCGAGTGAAATGAAACAGCGTCTTACTCCTGCTAATTCACAACAAAGAATGACGTTTATTCTTTTTCTCTTGACAGTGGTAGGGTTGGCAGTATGATAGACTGGTAATAGGTAGTACATAAAAGGTATGGCGATTATCATAACACTTCTTCCCCCCTGGGAGAAAAACCTGCCTGCTAACATACACAACACAAGGGTTAGTAGATTAGTCACAACACATTACAGGTCCAGTCTACGTGGAGGTCGTCGCTCACGAATAGATCTACGAACAGTATCGCAAGCAGTTTTTACCATTGTTCTAGACTTTACACTCCGCTTGATACTTGAATCTGTACCTGCTCCCGTATCCCTAACCGTAGTGCTGTCAGGCGTTCTTTGTCCTGTAGATACAGTGGCGCGAATGTCCTGGTCAGAATCATCAGAAATGTCTAGTGTCGGATCTGTAGCGTCGAGTTCTACTTTCGGTTGAACCACGTTTTGACCTGCTGGCGAAGGTATTATCACTTCACGATGTCTTGGAGTATCAGCTGGAATCTGAAGCTCTGGTCACAGACAAACAGACGTAACTCTTCATTGTGTATCTTCGTTCATGCATTTAACGGTTGATTTGAATATTATCAGTTCCGCGAACTACTCGCCGCAGCGCTGGCATCGGATCACTTTGACGTTTCTATATATTCTATAGAAATTTTATGCAATATTGTTTACGAGTTAGCGAGCAAGCTTGTTTTCCGCGAGAAGCCAGATAGATGTCGTTACTGAGGTTATATGTTTTGAGATACTATGTTTTCAAGAAAAAGTTTTTCAAAGAGTTACGTCTGTTTGTCTGTGCTCTGGTTGAGTCTGCTGAATCACGGGTCCTGGATTCAGTTGGTCGATATGACGTTTCCACATCCTACCATCATCCAGTTCGATCATATCAGTGCTAACATTTGAAAACGGCGCAAAAGCCATTTGTAAACAAATGGTTTGTGGGCCCTTTACTCGCTACCCGAAGAACGCCCACGCAAACCAACAGCATCGTCAGGAAGGGGAAAATTTTCCCTACCCGATGTTGCTGTTGTGTCGCGTGAGTGTACTTCAAGTAGTGAGTAAAGGGCCCACAAACCATTTGTTTACAAATGGCTTTTGGGCCGTTTTCAAATGTTAGCACTGATATAGTGAAGTTTTCCAATCTTTTCCACAACCACTCCAAACCTCCATTTCTCCGAACTCGATAGAAAATCCCGAGCCGCTACTCTATCATTCACCATGAACGAACGCACCGCTTTCTCCTCTCCTCGCGAAGAACTCTGCCGGTTTACTTTTGGAATCATAAGATCAATCCTCGACTTGATCTGTCGTCCAAACACCAACATAGATGGACTTTTTCCTGTAGAAGGATGCACAGTTCTCCGATATGCCATAAGTATCTTTTGTAGCTCGACCTGGATCTCGGAACGTAGACACTTCAATGCCTTGATTTTGTCTTTAAACGTCTGGACATAACGATCCGCCTGGTCATTAGTGGCGGGATGGTATGGTGCTCCCATCTTATGTACGATTCCGTTCTTCTTTAGAAACTTTTGGAAGTTGTCCGATGTGAACTGCGTGCCTCGATCGGTCACCAAGACCGACGGCAATCCGAAGGTAGCAAAAAACTCCCTCATTCTCTCGATGGTCGTCTCCGTAGTTAGATCCGGAATAATCTTCACTTCTGGCCACTTACTGTGTGCGTCAACTATGATCAAGAAGTTCAACCCCATGAATGGTCCAGCGAAGTCTGCATGGATTCTTTGAAAAGGTTCAGAAGGTCGTTCCCAGCAGTGCCACCTTGTTAAGATTTGCGCTAACGCGAGCACAATCCGTACAGTCCCGGGCTAGGTACTCAATATCACTGTCGATATTCTCCCACCAGCAGTACGACCTCGCAAGTGATTTCATACGGGAAATTCCGAAATGACCAGAATGCAACTCTTTCAACACACGGCTACGCAACGGAGATGGTACATACACCCGTATTCCTCGCATCAAGCATGCACCTTGCATACTGAACTCGTTCTGGTCGATACCGAATCTGAAACGACCATCAACGGGTCTTCCTGAATCAGCTCCTTGACATTCCGGTCCTTGATGGTGTACTCTCCGAGCTCCTTCACGTCTACTGGCAGCGTTTAAATCTGATTGATCTGCACAATGTCTACTTCCTCCACTTGGTTTCGAGTACTGCGATCGGTAACCGGTAAACGTGACATCCCGTCAGCATTTTGTTTGGCGAAAAGATCTGAACAACAGGCTTGTTGTCAGTTACCAAGATAAACTTTCGTCCAAAGAGGTATTGGTAGAACTTTCTCACACCGAAAATAATCGCGTAGGCCTCCTTGTCTACCTGGGTGTAGTTTTGTTGGGTAGTATTCAATGTCTGTGAAGCGTACTGGATCGATCGCTCGCTGCCATCTGGAAATATGTGACTTAACACTGCTCCAACGCCGTATGGCGATGCGTCTGTTGCTAATACCAGCGGTAAATTCACTTCGTAATGCACCAGCACGCGATCCGATTGCATTTCGGCTTTAACCCATAGGAACGCTTGTTCGCAAGAATCGGTCCATTCAAATGGTACCTTGTCCTTAAGTAGATTATTTATTGGGTAAAGCTTCGTACTCAGGTTCTTCATGAACCTACCGTAGTAATTCACAAGCCCTATGAACGCACGAACCTGTTCACGGTTCTGCGGACGTGGCATCTTCTGTAAGGCATCCACCTTTTGCTGCATCTTATGTATGCCATGGCGATCAATGGTGTAACCACAATATTCGATACTGTCGGCAAAGAACTCACATTTCGCTACATTCACACGCATGTTGTGTTCGTGGAATCTCTTCAAGACCTCTCGCAAACGACACAGGTGAACTTCGTCGTTCGGCCCAGTAATCTTGACGTCTTCCAAGCAAACCGATACGCCTGGTATTCCACGTAGGATTTGCGAAATTTCCCTCTGGAAGATGGCAGGTGCAGAGGCAACACCGTACATCAACTTTGTCGGTTGATACAGGCCCATGTGGGTGTTAAATGTCAGCATCGGCTGATCCTCCAATCGTACCATCATTTGTAGGTAAGCTTGGGCTAGATCCAGCTTAGTAAATTTTTCTCCACCAGCCATGTTCGAAAACATCTCGTTAATTGTAGGCAACGGATATTCATCGACCAGCAAACACTTATTGACCGTGAGTTTATAGTCTCCACACAAGCGAACTTTGTTGGCAGACTTCATGACCGGTACGACAGGTGTTGCCCAAGGGGTAAGACAGCTTTACTCTGAGTTGCATTTTTGCAGCGAGTAACTCGTGAGTAACTCAATGTACCTCAAAATTTAATCGACGTGCATCGTTCCCTCTTGGTTTACTCCGTTTATCCCTTCACATATTAGGCGTCAGTCTTGCTTGTAAACAATATATAATTGTTCAGACCGGCTATTGAAAAGATGTGAATTCCAGAATTTGTTTAGAAAACGGCTCCACCGAGAAGAACGAAAAATTGTTGCGGGAAATCACCGGCATATAACTGAAGAACGAAACATGCTCCGAATATAATAAATAATAGTTAAAAGAAAAACAAATAAAACAACATAACAATTCTATCCTTCTGAATGAAATATCTTATTTAAAGTAGTTATGTTAATCTTCAACAAACACTTCCGTCGACGGCTGCAGAAGAATCCAGGTGGTGTATCGCAGAAAGCGAACCACTTTACGATCATTCTGTGGGAGATGACGACAACCAGTAAACGCAGCATGCCATGATAATTTTGAATTTGTTCCATGTTACCATAGTAACCTCTATATAAGCTCGGTAATAAAGAACATTCACTCTCATTCGCTGCCAGACTGTTGAGCAGTTCAGTCG